AAGTGGTTTGGTGGTTAAGGCACTGGTCTTCCACAAGGATGACTGAAGTTTGAGTCTAGGAACAAGTGGCTTGAAACTCATGTCAGGTGTGTGTGCATGTGTGTCCAAAATCTCAGGAAGAGAATGGAGAATGGATCACAGTGTGATTATCCCTTCTGCAGGTGATTTCTCACTTTCCCTCTCACTGTCTCCCTCTGATGAGCTCATGCACGGTATCGCAAAAACCAAACCAAAACAAAACAAAATCGTCTTCTGGAAACTATTGCCCAGCTGTCATGGGAAGCACTTTTCTCTGGGCTCCCCCTAGCCTGTCTTGAGTACGGGTCCATCACATCATCCTACTGGTACTGTTCCCATAACTGTTATTTCCTTCAAAGGAAGAAACCACTCTTTTCCTATTTTTGCATTTTTTAAATAAACATTCAGTTGACATAAAGAACTACATTTTCAACTTCCAGGCTTTCTTCTCCCTCCCTGGTGTGGAGATATGGTATGGTGCAAGGGTGCAATAAATCTCCGTTGAGTGGAGATGTCTCTGTTCCCTCTTGGCTCCTTCGCTGGCCATCCTGCTCCTGAGTCTGCTGTGGGAGAATCCAGACATCATGCACAGCTGCAGTTCAGTGTGGCCCACTTTGGCTGGCATTCAAGTAGTAATTACAGACAAATGAGTATTATTACAACTCGCATCAATCAGCCCCCCTCTCCTCAAATGCTCTCACCAGGAAATAAGGACGATCTCAGTAAGATGTTGCTTTGTTTAATCCCAAGTGCCTTTCTGGTGACCAGGGAATGTGTGCTACATAGAGGAACGCTGGCACTGACCATCATTAACAGTTTATACAATCAGAGGCTATAGGTCCCTGGAAGTAGGCAGGTCCCAATTGTCACTTTCTCTGTCTGTGAACCTGGACAAGGGGCTTGTCTTCTCTGAATCTCTATACTCTTGTAGGTAACGTGGGAACAATAATACTTCCTGGGAATATTATTGCAATGATTAAGTGAGATGTTGGGTAGTTGTACAAGTCATGACATATTTTTATATGTTTTCCTGTGTAAAAATGCATCATTACTTCTCTGAGGACCAAATAGTGTGACTAAATTGTCAAGGGATTCCCTAGGTAATTCATAAATAAAAACTTCCTTTTTCCTTCATTTCTCAGTGAATGATTGGTTCTTTGTTCTCTATTGGGGGTATAGTTTTGTAATCACAAAGGTTTGCCTCAGCAGTTAGGTGCAAAATCTCAACTTATCTACATTCCAGTTTTTCTTTCTACAAAGACCCATATAGAGAAGCTTTACTGGAGAAATTGGGGCTTGCTCTGGGCATAAGAGGAAAAATTGTGTTTAACATCAGATTTGCAGATTTTTTGTGGGGTTCTAGGATACTCTGGAGAAAAGTACTAAGAATTTGAAGACCTCCAATCATGAAATTCTCCTAATTTTATAAGACCTCCTTGGGAACTATCCACAGTCTGCCTGCAGAGGAAGTTTCCTATGAGACGTAGGCTTGGGAAACATCATAGGTGGTGAGGGCAGGACTTTGCCGCTTTAGGTAAATTTAGGGAAAACATTTTATCCTGAGCCAATGGCACATTTAACACCATATTTGGAAAAAATAGTTCATAAAACTTGAGGCAAGTGGCCAGATGCCTTAATGGCATGAATGGAGCTTAGGTGTGGTAGATTTTAGATGATCTTTGTCAGTCTGTTCAATTTAACTTAATGAAATATACCAATACCTTCTTCGAGTGAGACATAGGGCTAAGAGTTGGGGATTCTGGGAAGAATAGGACAAGTTGCTTCTCTTTGACTGTTCACCATCTTCTGAAGGGTGTATAGAGGATATAGAGGATATAGAGGATGCTGATCCCTGGCTGGGGTAAGGGGATGGCTGACCTGACACTTGAAGGATGAAGGAACCTGTTGCTATTACGCTGTGCCAGGTGAGTGTTTGTGCATCACTTATTATTTTCTCTGTAACTTATTTCTGTATAATAGGAATAGTGATAATGGGAAAATAATAACCATTTTCCTACTAGAAATGGTCTCTGTGAAGATTAAGAGAGAGGGACCAACAGTTCGCATAATGGCTATGTCGCTGGACTCCCACATAGTCGACCGCGGTTCGAGTCCCGGACCCGGTGGCTTAAACTCATGCTGGGCGCGTGTGCGTGCGTGCCCAAGATCCCGAGAGGAGAATGGAGGAGAAGGGATTGTGGCGTGGCCACACCCCCTGGGGGGTGATTTCTTGCTCTCTGTCTCTCTGTCTGTCTGGTGAGTGCATGCTCTCTATAGCAAAAACCTCTCCAAAAAAAAAAAAAAAAAAAAGATTAAGAGAGATAATGCATATAGTACACTTTAGTAGAGTCTGTGCAATGGCCCAGGAAATGGCGGTGGTGATGACAGCAGTGCTTTTACCCTGAGAGGTCTAGAAGTAGAGAAAAGTCAGAATAGCAGAGCTGATCTATAGTTGATGTCTAATCATGTGCCTTTTCTTGATCTTCTGAGGATTTCTTTGAAACTCATAAATTCTTTTCTCTCTCTGCTATGAAAATATTGGCTGGCTCAACCACACTGAAATTAGTTCTGCCTCCATCTTGGAGCTCCTTCCTGACAGGTTCAGCAAGAAAATCACATGGTTCAAACACAATGACAACCACAGTTTATTGCTAGCTTGAGCTTTGGTCCCTAATGCCAATGAAACCACAGTGAGTTGGCCTGTACCTCTTTAATAATCAAATCAATCCTTCATCTTCACAGAGAAAAAGAGTCCAAAACTTTCTTTTCCTCACTTTCTTTCTATTTTCCTCAGTACCAAACACAAGAGTTCTCTCTTTGTGTTCCACTAGGGAATCCAAGTCTGGATTATAGATTTAGCAAGTTATTATTGTAACTTCTGTTATTCAAATCATCTCACTGTGAGTATAGATTTTTAAGCTTCTCCTTATTTTCCTGTCAGTTTTTGCTTTATGTTTTTTGAAGCTACACTATTAGGTACCTACAAGTTCACAGTTGCAATAACTTCTTGTAATTTTTTCCCCATCCAGTTATAAATATTTCTCTTCTTTCCCACCTGCAGCAAGAGCTTTGTACCATGGGGAAAAGTTGAAATCATTTTTCTAAAACCTTGACTAGACTATTTGATAAGCCCTATGAATGCTTGTGTTTAAGTTCCTTAATTTTGTAGCCCATGCAATTTCTGATGTAAAATGTCTGTTAGGGAGGGTAGGAGCTAGAAAAAAATCTCAGCAAGATCTTAAACTGTTGAGAGAATGAGACTTCTGAGAAGCCAATCTGGTGACACTGCTCTCCTGTGCCTCTCTGCCTCCATTTTGTCTTACATTTCTTCCTCATTAGTCTCTGAGAGTTTAAATAGTTGAACTGCCATTGTCTTCCTGTGGTTTAGGAGATTTATAATCCCCTTTTTATCAATGGAAAAACTGAAGATCATTAGGGTCATTATGACCTACATAGGTCTCCCAGTTCAAAAGTAATTATAATGCAGAATCAGAACTAGAATTCAGGTCTCTTGTTCTTAAACACTGCACAGTGACAGTCTTTTCCACAGGCTTTTTGTCTATCTTCTTTGGTTAAACAGTTTATTAATCAAATGTTGATCGAGGCTATGTTCTGGTTCCATGAGCTGTGCTAGGCATGTCAATTTAAAAGGCAGGTGTCCCCTTGGACCTCACAGCCTTATGTAAAGAGCATGTTGATACCTGCAGAAAGGTTTACTGGTGAGTGTCCTGGTTGCTTTCACATCATGGAGTTTCCTGCTTACCCCAAATCAAAGACAATATCCTTAAGTATTGGAATGGTGTCTTTTTCTCTCTTTCTCTCTCTCTTTGCATCCCTTTAAAACATGCCCTGGTCCCTGGGGGAAAGAAGAGTTCCTCACTTTCCCTCTGTCTCTGTCCTTTCTAGAAAGTACACACACCCTATAGTAAATTTAAAAACAAAACAAAAACAAAAAAAACAAGTCCTGATCTAGGACTCTTTGATCAAATGGGTCTCAGTTATGAAAGATAATGGATAGAGGTAAAATGGCCTTTCTCCAGGCTAACCCTTTGTCAGAATGGTGAAGAAGGCAGTTTGATTTTGTTAGCCCCAGTTCCATATCTATCTTTCTTTGATCTCTCCTCTCCCATCTTTCACCAAGTTCTGGTACTTCCCTTTTGTTTTCTCTGGTCTGGTGAACTCATATCTCCCTCTGAGCACCTTGAAATTCACTATCATACTCTTTTACCATGGGTTGCCAATGGTGGCATTTTAGGTAATAGCTGAGAGATGAAAATTTGGATGATGCTCTCTATGTCCTCTTATAAATCAAGGGATATAAGATTACATTTAACCATGCTTTTGTGTCTTCTGAGTTTGCTTCAAACTGCCTTGGGCCCAGGATTCTTTTTTTTTTTTATGGAGAGGTTTTTGCTATAGGGCACGTGTGCTTGCCAGAAAGACAGAGACAGAAAGACAGAAAGCGAGAAATCACCCACCAGGAGGGATGGCCATGCTGCAATCCCTTATCCTCCATTCTCCTCTCGGGATCTTGGGCACACATGCACACACACCCGGCGTGAGTTTAAGCCACCAGGTCTGGGACTCAAAACAGAAAAGATATGGAATGTTGAAGTGGGGAGATTAATGTCTCTGTACTGACTGACATGCATGGCATTCCCTTTTGAAAAAACAATGTAATACACTGTAAAGTTATATGTAATCCAATGTAATATAAAGAAGATTATGATAATAATAAAAATTAAAAAAAAAATGCAGTTGACTACATGGGAGACCAGCGGCATAGCCATTATGCTAACTTCTGGGCCCTGGGCCCAGGATTCTAACAGTTGGGAATGATGCCTCTGATAACCCTAATCCATTATGAGTATTTTATTGTGAAGAGTTAAAATATAGCAGTGATTTAAAAGGATGTTGGTTAGGACCAATGAAAGAAACCAAAGTGATATCCTCTTTTTACCCCTCATGTCTTCCATGGGTAGGTCCTTAGGATGCCAGTCCTGATGTCCTCAGATCATCTCTTCCCACTCAAGACTGGGAGATAGCCATCCTTGGGACCTGACCAAACCATACACAAGGTAAGAAAATTTCTACTGCCCATTCTATGCCTACATCTATGATGCCTCCCAAAATGCATAGTCACCATGAGAGAGTGGTTGTGATAGTTCTTATTCTCTGCCACTGGTTACTTTGGCTTGCCAGGTGATGACATTTATCTTTCTTTAAACATTTTCTTTTTTTAAGACAGATTTTTCCTATAGGGGACATGTGCTTACCAGAGAGACAGAAAGTGAGAAATCACCACCCGAGAGTGATGGTCATGTCACAATTCCTTCTTCTCCATTTTCCTCTTGGGATTTTTTTGGGCACTCATGCACATGCACTTTGTATGAGTTTCAAGCTGTTGAGTCTGAGACGCAAATGGAAGTCAACTATATGGAAACCTGATGACATAACCATTACACCATTTGCGGGTCTCATTTATGTTTTTCTTTATTTTTCTTTCTTTCTTACTTTTCTTTTCTTTATTTTTTTATTTTTTAGAGATTTTTGCTATAAGGTGCATACATTCACCAGAAAGACAGAGACAGAGAGGCAGAAAGAAGTGAGAAATCACCCTCTAAGGGGGATGACCACACCACAATCCCTTCTCCTCCATTCTCCTCTTGGGATTCTGGGCATGCACGCACATGAACCTGGTGTGAGTTTAAGCCACTGAGTCTGGGATTTGAACTGTGGTTGACTACATGGGAGTCCAGTGACCTAACCACCATGCCATCTACTGGTCCCCGTTTCTATTTCATTTTAAAGCATAGAAGACATGAAAAAATCTTCAATGGCTTTTGGCAGTCAAAGATCAAAGCTGTGTTCATCGGCCAAATGCATGGTCAAAAAGGCCAAGATCAAAAGGGAAAGGTTTTTATTTGAGGTGAACTCTCCTGTTCCTCATTAGAGTACTTCTATCATTCTCTTTTGAAAGGAACACAGATGAGGAATTTTGGCTGTGGCTGGCTGCTGAAATCAAGTGCTGACAGAAGATCCCAAAACAGCTGCAATGTAATCGTAAGTCTGGAAATTAAAATAAAGTTCACTGATACATAAAAAGAAAAGGGATAACTCTCGTGGGTTTCAGAAAAATCATTCACCAGAGCCTTTATGTTGGCCTAAATCCCACATACAAAGTGGGAGGTGTAATTGCTACGGAAACCAAAGGAGAGAAGCTGCAGAAATTCAGTCTCGCAGGTGATCCCAGCCTTCCGGTATTGCTGGCACCCAGTACACCAGAGAAAATAAATGGACTTCTTCATAAATATGAAATCTAGAGAGGCCAAAGCCAAGGGTCAGATGCATTTTGAAAGAAAAGTCTTTCTCATTGAGGATGGGGAATCTGCTTCCTAAAATGTGTAATTGGGCAACTGCATGTATTTTGTGTCTGTGAGTATGAGCTTCACAGTGAAGCTTTAAAAACAAAACAAAAACTTGTAATAGTTTGTCCACCAAATATTTGCTTGCTGGCTTTATTACCCTTCTTTTTTGGAAAAAAAAGCCCTAACTGGGGTATGGGAGAGGTGAGAAACTTGTCTCTTAACTCAGGTAAACCCTTCTCTTCTTTGTGTCTCAATTTCCTCCATCAGATAATGAGGATGTGGGATTAAATGGGTGCTTTCTTTTTATTTTTAATTTAATTTATTTATTCTATGAATGAGAGAGACAGAGAGGCAGAGAGACAGTACTTTCAACAGGGTCCTGATGCCATGATACACTCCCAGCTTCAGGGAGGAATCATGGGCATGGTTGTGTCTCAGGAATCATGGGCATGGTGTGCTCAGGGAGGTCTCCAGACATGAACCCAGAATTCTCCCATGTGAGTCAGCCTTGCAGAGCATCAAGTTTAACTGCCATGCCACCATCCAGGCCCAAGATGAGAGCTTTCTGAATGTACTTGGAAAAAAAAAAAGAACAGGGCCATCCCTATAGCACAGTGATTTAGTGCTGTGCATCGTGAAGTGATTACCACATGACTGACTGGCAGCTTGAAAAACACACTGGGCACATGTGCTTGCATAGCCAAAATCATGACAGGAGGAAAGAGAGAGTAAAGGCATGGCCATCTTCCATTGGAGAGTGCTTTCTCTCTTTCTTCCTAGCTAGTATGGTGATAAAGAAAGAAAGAAAGAGAGAGAAAGAAAGAAAGTGATTAAAAAAGAAGAAGAAGAAATAAATGTTTGAGCAAAACCTGGGCCAGGCACTGAGTGGATGGGGTTTAAGTGTCTTGGTTGGCAGGTACACTATCATGCAGCTCCCTGGCTTTTAGCTGCAGAGTTGGTGCAAGCCTGACTTTTGTTCCTTACCCCAAATCTGCTTTGATAGTTGCTTTTCAAATACAGCATTGCCAAGGTCCTTCCCTGCTGTGACAAGCAGAGCTTTTGCTATAAGCTGTGGATCCCCAGCCCCCAAACTGGCCATGGCGTTACAATTTGATTTTTTTCTGGAAGACATTTTCCCCTCATCTCTTGCCTCCCCTGCACAGCTTTTATTATGGGATGACACTGGTCTCATTCTTTCAGAGTGAAACGCTCCTATCCATCAGAAGCAAAGCTATTTTTCCTAGAGAGGAAAGCCTTGTCATTCCCAGTGTGCTTCTCATATGCCTTTTCTCTCTTGATCAACGTGAGCGGGTATTAATCTCACTTAATTCCCTGCAGCTGGCCTCACTTTGCATGGCTGTTTGGGGATAAGGTTCTTTTGTTCCCCTTTTCTTTCTTTTAAAGCAAACAGATTTTTTCTTTTGGGTTTTGGATAGATGTCATCTCAAGTTTTGATTTGGAAACAACTGTCTCTAAAAACTTCTGGGATAGGGCAGAAGGACTACAAGAAAAAAAAAAAAACAGCCATTTTCTGTGTTGAAAAAATGTATTTCTGATGAAGGTCAGGCCTCTGTGTTTACAGGGAAGATGAACAGGGTGAAGGGGTTGGCATGCAGGTCTGGATCCATACTCGCTGCTGTGTGACCTTGGCAAATCTCCTTCCCCTCTTTGGGCCACGCTGTTGCCATCTGTGCAACGGGTAGTTTAGCTTTGATTAATGGTCTGCAATTTAAAAAAATACTTTGAACTCTCTCTTCAGTTGAAATCTATCAAAATCCAATTGCTGTTTTTTTTGTAGGTCAAAAATATCAAATATAGACAATGTAGTATGTTTAGACCAGAGTCTCTCAGTCTTAATGCTGTTGACTTTGGGTCAAATAACTGTGGGACACTGCCATGTAGGATGGTTAGCAGCCTCCTTCAGCTCTATCCAATAGATATCAGTACCACTCCTTTAGTTGTGACACCAAAAATGTCTCCAGACATTGTCAAACGTCCCATGGGGGGAGGGGGCGCAATCACTTCTGAAAACCACTGCTTTTACCTAATAAAACCACAAGAAGGTGAGACTCTCTTTTGAAGGGAAATGAAAGGCATGTTACCTAGGTCCACTCTCTGTGGAAGAAGAAGCTCTTCGAATAAACCAGTGTTTCAGTAGTTGTAGTTTAAAAGTTGATTAACTTGGAGCAAGTGCTATGGTTTGTATACATTATCTAGGAGATACATTCATTTCATGGCATAAAGTAGCAGTTCATTCTTTTTCGTTGCTGTATAGGATCCCATTATAAGGATATGCTACAATTTATTTATTCTACACATATATGTATTGATTCTACTAATGCTTGACATTTAAATCAGTTCTAATTTTTCAGTATTCCAGATAGCATTACTATGGGTGGCAAATTCACTTTTAAAGTTGGATGGTAAAGATGGGCCAGCTGTCAGTGCCTCTTAAGCAAACGGAAATATGGCGCTCTCCATCCCAGGTTGGAGTTTGATGTCCCCATTGTACACTGAGAGGCTTGTGGAAGATGTTACCTTAATGACTTTCCATTAAGAACTCTAGGAAACTTTGGGAGTGCAAATCTGCATCTGGACACTTATGTGGTACTCTCTAGTCCCAGGAAGACTTCCACAGGACTGGTCTCTTTGGTTTGGGTGTTCACTGACAAGAAAAACCAGGACTGTCTTGATAAATTCAAGGGAAACAGGGCCATCCTATAGCCTTGTGGTTAAGGGAGACAGACCGTCATTGCCAACTATGGCCTAGGGGGCTTGAAAAATGTACGAATGTCCAGAATCTCAACAGAATAGAGAAATGGAGAAGAGACTGAGGCATGTCCATACTCCACTAGAGGATACTTTCTCTCCCACTCCTATCTCTTTTGCTCTGATAAACATATCACTTCTGGCAATTAAACAAGAAAAAGAAAGGCAAAGCAAAGCTTTATCTTGCCTTACTCTCCAGGACCTTGGGACACTTGGAGGATGCCAGGATGGTTTCCCCTCCTCTAAGAACCCAATTCCCCATCCCTAGATGTCTTGTCCTTCTAGTAGGACTAATGAACAGATGAGTCCCTTGCCCCCAGCTTCCTGCTGGATCACACCTCCTACCACAGGCAAAGTGCTTTGATTCCCATGGAGAACGTCATAAAGTAGTCCCCTGGTCTAGGCTTCAAGTAAGCAGACACATTTGCAGTGTTCTGGATACACAGTTGAAGAAAAGCAGAATGAGAGTTGGGACTTGAGGAAGATAGGGATAGTCTAGGGGAATGGGAATTCTTTAGTGACCCCAAATGACAGAAAACCTAACTTCTGTGAACTCATTCTCTGGTGGTCTTTGTCTGCTAACAGAAATACTTGCAATTGAGATTTATAAAGAATAGAGATTTATTTGGCTCACAATTCTGGTGGCCAAAAGTCTAAAGGTGTGATACTAGCTTCAAGCTAGCTTCTAGTGCTACATCATAAAATAGTCAACAGAAACTGTCAGTAGGGTGGGCACATTGAAAAGAGAAGACACACAGTTCCCTATTTCCTCTCTTTGTCCCTCCCAAACTCCCAGCTGACTGAATGATGCCTTCTCATTAGGCCCCACCTCTTGAATGTCTCACTACTTCCTAAAGCCATTACACTGGGACCAAGCTTTCAGAACATAAAACATCGGGGGACAAATCATTATACAAACCATAACAGTAGGATAAGTACTACTCTTTTCTGGCAGATAGAATAGGATTTAACAGCATAGGCTTCCTAATAGAGTTTTACCTTGAAATAGTGACTCTGCCATTCAGTGTCTAGGACTTTTGGAAAGATTAGCTTTTCTAAATCAGTTTTGAAATCAGTCTATTTAAAATGAGGGTATTTAAATGAAGATGAACTCCATCCTTGTCATGATGATTACATAAGACAATGATGTCACCCTTTTGTCTAATTTATCTCTAAGTTTTTAAGGTCCTCTACTCTGGTAGAGGAAGGTCAGACACCTCTGGCATCTATATAAAGAGGAATGCTGGTTGGAAGCCAGGAACTTGGGTTCTGTTTCCAGCCCTATTGCTCCTCTAAGTGTCTCCATACTTTCAGTAAAGAGGTTGGCTTTGGTCATCTTTAGTTCCTTCAGAGTTGTCATGCTCTCGGAACCTGTGCATCTATACTCTTTGCCTCCAAAAATAAATATTCAACATAGAGTAGTAGATAAAAGCTCAGATTTGGAAGTCAGGGAACTAAATACTTACTTCTCCTATGCCTTAATTCTCTTTTCACTAAAAGGAAAGTAATAATATTCATTTCATACAGTTATAGAAAGATTTTAAAAAGTAATGTATGTCAAGTACTCAGCATGGTAGAAGCCATGATAATAACAAAAACATAATGGTTGTATAATATTAATATCATTACTCATAAAAATTTAAGTAATAAATTCCCTCCAGTTAAGAGAAATTTAATTTTTATTACATTTTTATTTAAATTTATTTATTTACATTCATTTATTTTATTTTTTTATACATTTTTTTCTTTATTTACATTCATTCACTGTACATCATTATCGCATACAAAATGAGATTTTTCCATTGAGAATACACTGTATATTGGCTCAATCAAGCACATCAACATATGTGTTATTGTCAACAAATCATTTTCCATTTCTTGTTTTCTGTATATTTTGCCTTTTTTTCCCATCCTTGGTTCCCTATC